TTGAAATTATTTCGAATACTCTAGGACCCAGGATGCAGGACTAGGTATGTTCATTAAGGTCTCCCTATTGCCCGGCCAAGTATCGAAAATGTAATCAAACTAACATTATATCAGTAAACCATCTAATTTGACTTAGCTCTACTTTCCAAAAGATATTTTTTCCAGCGGACTTCAGTTTCGACCTTGTTTTGGTCTCATCAACGCCCACTTAGAGAAGTGAATCTGAGTATTTATCGTATAATTTTTCACGCTTACACTACGTTATACTGCAACGAGTGGGTCTCGTAGTGGAGACATATGTATATAATTTTATTCGTGTGTTGACTATCGATTCATTATGTTCGACCTCTGATTCATTACTGGGCTTTTGTTCTTGTGATAGACATCTGGAGAATAATAAACATACTATTAACCAAATTAGCAAAAACATAGTGGATAGCTGCAGTTATACCCACTTCTTGTAACTCTATGATTCGATTTTCTGAAATGATAGGCCCAATTACATGAAATTGTTTAGGAAATTTTCGATATTAAGCGTCATGTTTCAAAGCTCACTTACATTAGGTCTCATTAGATGAAAGAGCTTTAAATAATATGCTCTATGATGTGATTATAACTAATTTCCATTATGGTATGCATCTTATTAATGTGCATTAGTTATTTGTCTTATATAATTTCGTCACTTAAGTCCGTCAGTAAAATATCTCGAATTCACTTCACGTCGAGTGCAACTTCAATGAGTGAGATTATGTTATAATTTATAACTTTCATATCATTTATCAATAGTTTTGTCAATACAGGTATCGTCCTTCACTAATTGAAGATGTTGTTAGATATATCGTTTATTTTTTCATTCTTGTTGCAACTCTAAATTTTACTAATACTTTGGCATAGAGCTAAACGTGGCTTAGCATGCAATTGCCATCATGGTAAATTAGAAAAGAGATATTATTTATCTGTTTCTCGAATTTGGTGATCCATTTTAATCCTTTTTGACGCAAATACATCACATCGCTCAATCATATGCGAAATAGCTTCACGATAGAAAGGCAAGGAGGGATTGACCTTTGAGCCAGATCAAAATAAAAAATTTAAATGCTATATTTTAATCGATAAATGATTTTATATTCATTGATACCATCTTATTTCTTTCGATCTAGTGGATAAAAATTTTATTCTGTTCTCTTAGACGTGCGAGTGACCTTTGCTTTGTGTTGATCAATCCATCCAATGTACGCAGCATGATGAAAGAGCTGCTTGCGTACCTGGAAGTCTGTGATTCCGATTTTAAAAGTGATGTCTGCTCGAACATTATCATCGCTGCAGAACGGTATGCTCCCAGCAAGCGTTGGCACATCGACACTATCCTCATGGTCCTCACTACGGTACTTTGTTATCTTATTCAAGCACACTGATTACAGCCTTACAGACTTTAGAGAACATAGAATCGTAATATAACTTTGCATAGCTTTATACCAAGCATCGCATCGTTAGTCGCATTAGTAACAATTTTATATTTGGCTCATAATTTCACTCCTTATTCGTATTAGTATTATTATTTTATATTTTAATGTATTTTTTAGGTTATCTTAGGCCTCTTACCTAATATATCTTAAAAGCTATTTTTCATAGAATACATATAAAAAGGCCTCATAGTGAATACAGCTGGTACATTTTATCCGCTTTATTTAATTTTTAAAAATTAACCATTCTATACTTCTCTGCTAAGACAAAGAAGAGGAGAGATGCATCAACGATTGGATAAAATATAGGTCAAGAGGACTGGTTTTATCACTTGTATGGCCCATAATTCGTTGCTAAAATTGGGCTTCTCACTCACTATGTCCGCTAAGCGTCTGAGAATGTGCCGAGTCAA